TGGGATGCTGCATGGCTTCTAGAAATGAAAAACGGACTCGTAGAAACTGCAAACAATTGGTGTGACATTTTAGCAAGATTTCTTTTTTAAAAAAGAATTGATATTCAGCCACTTGTAAGATGCATATTTAAAGCAAATCAAGAAGAGACAGAATAGATTAAGAAGTCTTCACTAAATTAGTGCTAAATGAAGCCACCCAGAGTGATTTGCTGAGATGGACAGTTATAGATAGCAAATAAATAAGGAAGTGGGACAGGGAAAAATCTATGGTGCTGTATATCGGCAAGAGATAGAGTGACATAGGTGAGTGTCCCATCTGAGCCACCTTCTTGGGCAGTCACAGTTGAGAACTCCACCTCTTCCAAGGTTGCACCCACCACTACTTGTATGCAAGTAGGAAGTGATGCTACTGCTGTCCACACTGGTCTTGGCTCTGCAAAGCTCACTCTCCATCCAGGGAGGCAGGTGAAGTGGGGGGGGGGAAGCGGGGGGAGTTGAAGCAGAGACAATCCAGGCAGGGCAGGAAAATGTACTGTGGGACAACGCAGCAGTCATAAGTGTGGCTGGTCACAAAGTGCCCAAATTTTGATCACATGATCTTAGGAATGGTTCGACTGTTGTAAGTTATTGTAAGCACTTGTAAGTTTATTTTTCAATGACATGATAACTTTGAACACTTCTTGAAAAAATGAAAATAATCTATCAGTAGGATCCAGGAGACATGCAATCTCAGCCGTTGTACCTGCCCTTTAAAATAACTCTGGGTTGGCCCTGATCCTGTAATATTTTAGAGAGGCCATTAAGATCTAGCTCTTCCCTCAAGCCTTGGGGCCAAAATGAGTAGACACTCCATTTTTAGGAGTTGTCATGGTCTCAATCATATTACCATTTATGCTTACTGTTTTATTTGGTTTTATTGATCCCCCACCCTTTTTTTGTTTCTCACACTGCCCAGTGTTTTGAGATGGCTGGCCGTTCTGACCCCCCGCTCCGGCCTGCGAATCATGCAGACCAAGGCTTGGCTGTTTGCTACTCTTTAATCACGGAGTTATTGACTCCTTTGGCTGAAGGCCCAGACAAGACTCACATGCAAGAATAGTTGGCAGCCACCGAAATTCAACAGACATGGATACAAGACAGTCAAGAGTTTTCCAATACTGTTTTGAACGGTTGTTTCCTGCAAATGTCCCCTCCCAACTTCTCCACTTATATACTCTCTTGGGAGGGGCCAAGCCACAACCACCTGGGCTTAATTATCATCTGTGAGTCTGCCTACGGAGCTGCTGTTTCCGTTTCTCCGCCCTTCTTAATCTTGTGTCAGGGACAAACTGCCTTTGATCCTCCCCTCTGCTCCATGCCTCAGGCACCTCCTGGTGGCCAACCAGCCTCTCTGGTCCCTGCTCTGAGTCTGAACCCTGCCCAGGGCCCTCCACGTCTTCCCTGGCAGACTCATATGGTTCCTCGCTATCCGAGTCCATCAGCAGCTCCACTGGATCCTGCTGAGCCACAACAGCTGGCCATATAAATATTTCAAGTAAATAAATAACCAGATACATCAATAAATCCATTGTTTTATGGTGGCTATCTAGTGAATAAGCAATGAGATAACTTAATAACTACATTTCTAATGCACATTTAAATATTCTCCATACACCATTACACCATATAAAATACAGCAGGCAATTTTTTTCATGGCTCTTAAAATGCAATCAAAGTAATGTATAGCTAACAAGAGTTTCCATGTAAAATAGATGTGACAAACTTTGCAGAGACTATAGTTCACCTAAAATCGCACAAATGATGCCATCCAAAATCAGTATTTTGGTATCTAATGTCAATGATACAATCTTAGTGGTTTTTGAACACCACAAAAATGGGACTCAGGCTGCATAAGATTTGGTTTTAGGCTCCCTATTCCAGTGCAGGACAGAATCTATTTTATGCCTGTACAAGGTAGTCTTCAACTTACAATCATTCATTGAGTGAATGGTTACAACCATTCAACGTTAAAAGTGACTGATGGCCACTTTTCACTTATGACTATTGCAGCATCCCCAAGATCCCATAATCAAAATTTGGATGCTTGGCAAGAGACTCATATTTATGGCAGTTGCAGTGCCCGGGGGTCTTGTGATCCCCTTTTGCGACCTTCTGACAAGCAAAGTCAATAAGAAAGCAGATTCACTTTACAACCATGTTAATAACTTAACAACTGCAGAGATTCACTTAACAACTATGGCAAGAAAGGGTGTAAAATAGAGCAAAATTCACTTAAAAACTACTTCGCTTAGCAGTGGGAATGTTGGGCTTCAACATTATGTGATTAGGTATTATGTGATGATATAGATTAATGAATATTTAACAATGCAGTTGAGTTAAATACTGCAAAAATTTAACCCTAACTTTAAAAGAACCTTCCAGAATGTAGCTATATTTCCAATGATTCTTTATTTCATGGACACTATTAAAGAAAGATTTCCTGGGTTGAGTACATGTTAATGTTTTAAAATAAATTACCATGACAATAAATCTGATTGCTTTGTGAACTTTGTTTAACAGGCATAATTCTTTTTCTGCCCTGGGCCAATTCACCACAAATCACACCAATCAGAAACTGGATATGTAATGTAAGTTAAAAATACTGCCATTTCATGACTTAAGAGAGAAAGAAGGGTCAAGGATGGATACTTCCTGCACTCCAGTTTATATTTAGCAAATGAAACTTAAGTGTGTAAACCAACTGCAATATAAGAATCCGTATATCAAAATTATTTTCAAATGAAATCATTTTGGTGGCTTATGTTTAACATGGAATTCCATGCATAATCAATTGAATTTGCAATTCTCCAGTTCACTATGAAGAAATATGGCAGTTCAGAAATATCTTAATTTATCATTCCTATAGTAAAATAATCACAAGGTCAGAACGGAAGCTTTGGGATGCTCTCCAGATAGTGTGGATTACAACCTATTTTCCCAGTTAAAAAGCTTTACTTTGAGTGGGAATGTTAGGAACACTGGAAACCAGCAGGGGAGGAAATACAATCACAGATTACTTTGGCTTTCTACAACTGATTTTTGAATAGCACAGCTTAGTTATAAAAATCTTGGGAAGTAAAACCTGAAGCTATTCCAGTACTCCCCAGCATCTGCACGAGGTGCCCTAACCTTTCTTAAGGTTTCCACCAAGGCTGGCCAAAATTCACTATTGTAAATCAAGTCACATGTCTTTTCCCTCACTTGCTATATAACTGCTCTCTTTTTCATGACAGTCAGAGAAAGTGTTATTTTTACAGATTTACACAAAAATTAAAAACTAGTAGAATGTTTAAGCATCACAAAAACAGCCTACTTTTTGATGTTGTTAGCTGCAAAGTCGTGTCCGACCCTTCGTGACCCCATGGACAATGTTCCTCCAGGTCTTCCTGTCCTCTACCATTCCAGAGTCCATTTAAGCTCGCACCTACTGCTTTAGTGACTCCATCCAACCACCTCATTCTCATTAGGTGGCCAAAGTATTTGAGTTTCATCTTCAGGATCTGGACTTCTAAAGAGCAGTCAGGGTTGATCTCTTCTAAGACTGACTGGTTTGATCGCCTTGCAGTCGAGCAAGGGCCTCGCAGGAATCTTCTCCAGCACCATAGTTCAAAGGCCTCAATTCTTTGATGCTCAGTCTCTCTTATGGTCCAACTTTCACAACCTTACATTTCAACTGGGGAAACCATAGCCTTGACTATACGTAAATTTTTTGGCAGGGTGATGTCTCTGCTTTTTATTATGCTGTTTAGATTTGCCATAGCTTTCCTCCCCAGGTGCAAGTATCTTTTAATTTCTTGGTTGCAGTCTCCATCTGCGATGATCTTGGAGCCCAGGAAAATAAAATCTGTCACTACCTCCATTTCTTCCCCATCTATTTGCCAGGAATTGCCTACTTTTTAACTTCTGCTAAATATGGTTAACCATCTCTTAGCCACTACAATTGGCACCAACAACCCTATTGCTAAATGCTGTGGTCACAAAGTGAAACATTACATGCACCCAACTGGCAATTTTACTTCTCTGTTTTAAACTCTGCTTCTCAGAAGCCAGCTGCAAAGCATTGTAATGGTGATCCTCTGACCGTGGGATACTGCAATGGTCATAAACAGCATCAGTTGCTGAATAGTGTCCGAACAGTAACCACATGACTGTGAGATCCTGGGATGGTTATAAATGTGAAAAATATTTCTAAATCTATTTTTACACAGTTGTACCTTTGAATGGTTGTTAAATGACACAGTTGTTAAGTGAGGACTACCTGTTGTTCACTGCACTGTTTGTGATGTTGAATTTAAAGGAGAAATTTATCCTCAATTAACAGAAATCTATTTAGAGTTACTTTAACACCCACAGCAGTATTAGCTTTTCAGATTTTTTTTACTAAATGATCATACCAACTGCTTTCATTTAAAAAAAAAAAACCTAACATTCTTCCTACTTGCACTGAAGAAGTGCATACAAGCTTATAAATTGTACACTGCCCTTTGCTTGTTTATTTAAAAACAGTACTATATTCAAACCACAATAGCTGCCACGTGCTTCCACAGAGGGAACATATTGCCAGAGAAAAAGACTTTGTGTCTTAAAAATTATAAATGAAAATTATGAGTTCTAAATGGCCATCTGGGATTCAGGAAACCATCTGCAAGTTTAAGACATGAAAATATCAGCCATTGCCTCAATGTTGACATGGGTCCAGCACAAGATGATGATTCATTAAATTTGAACACCATAAACTCCCAACAATTCTGGGAGGTTTATCAGATACTTTTGTGTTTCATGCTATGTTCGAAGTCAAAAATTAAGTATGACTATCAGCAAACGGCATTTGGAAAAGTCATAGGGTTAAAGAGAACCATCTTTTCCATCCCTCAATTCACCCGAATTAGCAACGGAACGTAAAATGTGGAGAGGTTCTGTATTTGTTTCCTCTTAGATCTTATTCAATCCCTACAATATACCTTGTTAAACTGGAAAAGATCACGCTTGAGCCTCTCCCTTACGGTATCATGTCCTGGCCTCAGAAATCTTCTCATTTTCTTCTTTAATTGCAAGGCACCAAAGCTGTAGAGAAGAAAATGTATTTGTAAGGACACTTGGATATCAGCTACATACAATGTGCTTAGATAGAAATAAAATTTGGTAGAAAAAGAATTTCTGGAGCTGAGGATTAAACTGTGGAATTCTTGATGCAGACTTTTCATCACCCAAACAGGTAACATCATCAGTGAAAAGGGAGTGTACGTAGCAAAACTGATACTCAGTATTATTGATGTTGTTACCCAATTGTCTAATGAATTGTCTGCAAGCAAAAAAACAACAACAACACAAGCTTAGGGAGCACTAAGAATCCCACAGAACTGAAATTAGGTATCTTACCACTTTAAACTTGCAAAAAAGATTACATTTCACATCAGAGGTTAGGTAAAAGAGATTAGGTAAAAGAGATTAGGTAGGAGATTATTTAAAGGGCTTCAAAGAATGGGATATTTGTACTAGTACTTATTAGTACTAGTATTTCCTGTCATAGCAAATTCAAGTTCATTGAACAAGGAAAATAGGGAGCTTAGCCTTCCTATAAGTGTAATAAAGGTACCTCCAGTTGTTAATAAACATATTAAAATCATGTTATGTGTGCAAATACACATTGTATGTGTTATGTTATTATAAGGATATTTCTCCTTTGTTCATATTGCCCAGTACTGTAATATAAATAAAAAATCCAGTTAAAAGAGCTGAGAATATATCATCCTGACTTGACATTTCTTCATTAGAATTGATTTATTGCAAAATATTTATAGGAATTTAAAAAACCCATGTCCTTAAAGAATATCTTCTAGTATGATATTTTACTATATGCCATTTGGGGCTGGAATGGGTAAAGCAACACGTAGGCACTTGAAATTAATTGTGGGAATTGGTGCATACACACACAATCTCATTTTAAAAGGCCTAGCTATGTACCATATCAACTGTGCTGCCATAAGACTATAACAAACACTATTCTGTTAACTGGTTCTACTTACCAGGAGACTAGCTTGTTCTGAGCCAATTTAAAAGACCAACTATTACTTCAGAAAAAAATAGAAGAAAACAAACGGGTCTTCAAAAGATGCATATGTCAGTCAACCTAGCATGCTTCAAAACAATTAAGCAATCTATTGGACACCAATCAAACTGATTGGTCTCCAAAGGTCACACAAATTAGGCCCATAAGTTGATATAAATATGAATGGTAGGTTCCAATGGAGAAAGGTAGTCCTCCAAGAAAACTTGAGTTAAGATTAGGGTAGAATTAGTCTCCAGGATGGTAATACTTGGTATAATATACCTCAACTGACTTTGGAATTCCACATTATATTGATAATGTTTAGAAGGATAGATAGTATATTCAAATCTCTGACAGATCCATCAGAATACATGCATTTTAATCTATTCCTCAATGTAAATCATATCAATACAACCTAAACAATTTACATGTAGAACACAAGCCTGAAACCAGATTGCATGTGAATCCTTTCAATTATTTTTTGTCCCTTTAATGGGTATTATGCAGAAGAAATCCTTGACTGAGCTGAAGATGGTAAGATCGTAATGGGTGTTTCTTTTTGCAAAGGCAGATCAAATTTAGGGTGTATAGACAAAGAGGACCTACAGCCACAGTGTTATGTTTTGTCTATATTTGGCCTAGAAATCTTAAGTGAAATTATGTTGCAATAGAAGGAATAAAGTTCTATTAAAATTATATTTTAGAGTTGCAGCCACAGCTAAAGAGAAACAAGTAGAAAGCAAGATTTCCTTAAATGAGATGTTGAAGACAATAAATAAAAAGATATGCAACTCCAAACATTTACAACTATTTAAAGAAATAATGGAGATATACGTGAATCTTCATTTCGCTTACAGCTAGTCGGCTAACTACTGCATATCTAAACTTCCTTTAAGAAAAGAAAGTAACAAAATGTGTAATATGGCCTATTAACTATTTTTATGAAAGCACAGAAAAGCTCAAAGCAGAAAAAGGCAAAACAATAAGGACTGCAATGCCTTGTATGGAGTACTTGTAGTTTTTCATATAGAATGCTGAATATCTCTTGAAAAATGAATAAACAATGAACTAAACAGAAAGAGAAATAATTCTGAATCATAGCAGCTTAGAGTCCAGAGTTCACTTGTCTTCATTTGCAAAGAAAAAGTTGGGGAAAGTTTATGACAATAAAGGAAGGCCAATTTAAAAAGAGAAGGCTGATAAATCAAAGGTTACCACCTCAAACATAAAATCCCAAGTTGTGGATTGAGTAAAACAAAAAGAAATCCTTGAGCCATACATCTGTGTACATCCGAAAATCAGCTTCTCCTTCACAGAGTGTTGCATTCAGATTGTTGTTGATGTTACAGAATAACAGAATTAGAAGGGACCTTGGAGGTCTTCTAGTCCAACTCCCTGCTGAATCAGGAGTTCCTATGCATGTGATGGCGAACCTATAGCACGCATGCCAGAGGTGGCACGCAGAGCCATCACCAGCTGTTCTTCTAGTTTCCAGTGCGCATGTGCACACCAGCCACCTGGTTTTTAGATTTCCGGCACTTCAGCACCCGCGAAGACCAACTGGAAGACCAGATGGCCAGTGCTTGCATGCACCCCAGCCAGCTGGTTTCTGGGTTTTCAGCACATGCACGAGTGTTACAGTTTGGGCACTCGGTGCCAAAAAGGTTCACCATCACTGTCCTATGCCATTCGGAACAAACGGCTGTCCAATCTCTTCTTAAAATCCTCTAGTGATGGAGCACCCACAGCTTCTGGAAGCGAGCTGTTACACTGATTAATTATTCTCTCAGGAGATTTCTCTCTAGTTCTAGGTTGGATTTCTCTTTAGTTATCTTCCATCTGTTATTTATTGTCCTACTTTCAGGTATTTTTGAGAATAGATTAACCCCCCTCTTGTCTGTGACCTTGAAATCCTAGTCCTTCTCTTTGTTAGAGTAGACATACTCAGTTCCTGCAACCATTATTTTCTGATACTATTTGTATCATGGTGCTTGAACTATTTGTAGTTCAACTGGGATTCTCAATTCTTCAATCAAAATAGAAAAGGGCTCTATTTAGAGAAAGTAATGAGACAAAAGTTTGGCCTTATTTTGCAGTCTGCTACCACTTTTTTTTTTTGCCCAAGCTGGATGCCTTTCAGACATATTGGACATCAACTCTCACAAGTGTACTGATGGGAATTATGGAAATGCAAGCTAAATCAAAACAATTAGCACCAAAACATTAACTGTTGCCAACATACGTTCATCACAGAAATCATTCCAATTTCTTTGAAGATACACACCTGTTCTTTGGGTTGCAGTATCTAGTACTAATGCATCTTTAATCAAAAGAGCTTGATTTTAAATGATAAACTAATGAAAATTTTGCAGTGGTTCTCCTCCTACCTCTCGGACAGGTCGCAGTCGGTGTTGGTCGGGGGACAGAGATCGACCACGAGGCCCCTAACATATGGGGTGCCGCAGGGGTCGGTCCTGTCCCCTGTACTATTTAACATCTACATGAAACCGCTGGGCGAGATCATTCGGAGGCACGGGATAAGATACCATCAATATGCGGACGATACCCAGCTGTATCTGTCCACCCCATGCCAACTCAATGAAGCGGTGGATGTGATGAACCAGGGTCTCGAGGCCGTCAGGGACTGGATGAGGGCTAACAAGCTTGTACTCAACCCGGAAAAGACCGAGTGGCTGTTGTGTTTCCTTCCCAATAATTTGGTTAGTGTTCCATCGCTCAGGCTGGGGGG